GAAAATTTCAAAATGGTATATAACTTTTATGATTATTTTGATCTGTTCTATCTGTACACGGCGGTTGTTCGATTAGTTAACGGACATCATATATATATATATATATATATATATATATATATATATATATATATATATATATATATATATATATATGTGTGTGTGTGATTTGCAAACTTGTGGATTATGAGCAATTGTTACTCATTCATGCAGTCAAATTTATTATATGATATTTTCTATATTTTCTATAGATATGACGGTAGCTAAGCCAGAAATTAGTTGGGTTCTTGATATAACAATAGCGTATCCTCAAGGTAAGCCAATCGACTTACCTACCATCATAACTGGCTCAAGACCTCCATGCGAGACGGTACTGTTCTATCGACTCTTTCCTAGTTCAGTGGTAAGTTTTAAATATAATATTATATCCCTTTGTTCACAGCTTTGCTTTAATTCTTAAGATGTAAGAAATTGGCCAACCACAGTTGATTATTTTTAAAATAATCGACTGTGATTGGTCAGTTTATTACGGCTTAAAAATTAACGCAAAGTTCAAGGGGATATAAAATTGATCGCAGTGTGCATGAATTATACCTTAACGATGAATTACAACGTGGTATAATTGTTATAGGTTCCTCGTGAACCAGAAATGTTATCTAAATGGTTGTACGACAGATGGGTAGAAAAAGAAGCGCTTTTGGAAAATTTTTATAAATATGGAACGTTTCTTGGCACAAATGAGTCGAGGAGAGGGGGTTGCAAGATACATCAGGATCCATTAAAATTCCTAGTCCTTCATTTATTCTTTATAATGTCTAGTTATATACACTATAGCATGTTTAGGTACGTGCTATCATGCTTTTGGTAAGATATTTTATACGTCACATAAGACGCACGACGCAGTCCAGTTTAAAGAAGAAAATCACAGAGTAGTAAAGTAAGATATCCCTGCCTTAAACAATTTTGATGTCGAGAAGAATAATTCTAACGAATGTGCGAATTATCAAACCGACAATGACCTAGCAAAAAATCATCCGTGACACTTCTTTTTAACGGAATACAGTTCATAAACGGCATTTACGTGAGACCTGTTACATGAATTTAAGAATATTAAGTTAGCATACTTTATATACTTGTCTCAAAGATTAAATAAATTTTATATTTAACACGAAAGAACATTCGAGGTGTCGTCAAGTATAAATGAAATATATTTCTAGAATTTGTTTCTGCAATCTTTTTTTTGTGACTGCAAATTTCAAAGATGATTTTTATTATATCGCTCACATTCTATGTAAAGTATAAATTGCATAGCGAAACCACTTTTACAAGTCACTACATATTTGTATTTTCAATGGTGACGGAATATTTTTAAAACGGAATCGATGTGTGTGACTATGTCGATTTGAAATAAATCAATTAAGATTTATTTTTTTCTCATTATATTGAGTATTGAAGAATATAAATATATTTATTTGTGAATTGAGAGATAACATCGGAGACACGTTAAAACTAAACGCATTAGAAATAAAATTTTGATCTGTCTTATATCGTATCTTATGTAATCTTTTTTTTTTTGGAGACGGCGCAACGCTTTTTGCTACTAATTCTTGCGATCGCGTGAATGTAGCGTCTAGATTACTCATCCCAATCAAGCGATTTAACGGCTGTTAGTTCGCACGATCGTATTGTACGTTGCATAATAAATACTACACGATTTTGTAGATAGCCGAGTTTAGATGTGATAATTCGTTAATTTTTATTATCCTCACATGTACGACATACGGATGTGTTCGCGCACTCACTCGCACACGCGTCTGGAAGCCTGGCAGCGTTGTAAAAATATCTTCGTAATACCTCGCGTTGCGCGCGTGTTTTATATAATGTAGTTCGTTATACGATGATACACATTCTATATGAAGTGAGATTATGAACAGCTTCTGCTGCGATGCAGAGCGGCGCAGTAAAAGACGAATCTTTCAAAGAAATATACGTTCATTTGTGATACGATAGCGAGGAAAATATTTTTCAAGGTGAAGTCCATCCTAATAAACATAATTTTTTAACATCGCACTAGAAATTTCGTAATAATAAGTTGGTATAATTCTACTGACATAAATTAGACTTAGATGTGGAAAGTAATATATATAATTGTTTGGAAGCTAAAAACGGAAATAAAAGAGACATTGTATCGAATGTGTAAAAACCAGGCGACGCATATTTTTCACCACTGAACCCGGAAACGCAGAGACGCGCGCGATACCGACATTCTCGAGCGAAGGAGAACGATTTATCAGTTGTGCCTTGTTCCTGCGGACATGTACCGAATGTACTCGTGATAAGGATATAGTGTGCATATTCTTTGTGATTGAATCCGCATTCTTGCCGCATTCTTACCGTAAGATCACGTTTTATCACCTTATATTGAACCATAGGTCTAATCTAATTCTTCTAGAGTTAAGAGAGAAAACGATTATCAAGCGTACACTCGAAGCTGCCTAACTAATTAGAGCCGTCTTTTTCTAAACTGCAATGAGGCACTTTAGCCTATATAGTGAAGGAGAATATACTAGTTAACGTAGTTAACTGTGTCTTTGTCGTACAGTTTTTCGAACGAGTTTCACGCATGTCACTCGTTCGAAACTTATTCATTTTTCGCGTGGGAAATCCCCTAGTGAAGTGAACGCATAAACAAAATTAGTCAGCTCGTAATATCCTGCAATATCGCGAAACCGAATTATCTCATTATAATATACGATTGCAACTTGCTTATAAATTTATAAATATATCAGAACTGAAAGAAGCTGAAAAAGAACAATAGAAGTGTGTAACAAAGAGTAGTCACCAAACTAGTATAATATTTTTTTTTTCTTTAACGTATATCTATATCGCATATTCGAATATGGAGCCTTGAGTTTAAAACACGGTGGTATATACACGTGCGCAATTTCAATCAGACAAAAGTTTTAAACTCAATGAATCGTTTTTGCATCTTAGTAAATTCCGGTAACATCGGTAAAAAACATCAGGTTCCCTCTAGAGATAGGAAAAATTCCTCAAACGAATCTAACTGATCTTTTTAATTTAAAAGGCCGAAAGTTGTATTCGCGCACGTCGATGTCACAGGTATTTTCACATTCCAGCGAATAATACCAGTTTCCTTCCTATAGTTCAGATCTTTTCTTGTACTTATAATAAACAGACAAAGGCGTATTTTATTATACCTCTAGTCGAATTTTGCTGCTATGTAATAAGACGTGACGTATTATGTGTATGCTGCTAAGTTCTCGCTGGCATACTTCCGCATAAGATATGCATCAGTGAAACACACGAAATCTGTATGCTAAAGTATTTCCGTTGGAAATGCTTACATGTGTATCATAGCGAGTATTTTATTGATCGATATATAGTCCGTGTGCCGCGTTATGTCACCTGTTATTAAGTTTTTAACGTTTACATAAGGGAGTAGACAAAATATAAAGAAAAAAGATCCAAAAACTATCAACTGTTTTACTGATACATAGTGATATTTATAAAGTCAATGAGATAAGTAGCAAAGTCCATAAATACGATCGGTAAAATATGTACCTAATACATCGATACGATACCGAGTGAAAATTTTAATATATCACTGTTGAAATCCTTTCGTCGAAAGAGAGCCACACAGCGCTCTCAGATCTTTTACAAAGGGACAATTTCTCTGTAAGTTTTATTCTAAGGAAGCAGGCATTGCAACAGTATAGAGAGCGCAAAAATGCGTCATATAATATCCGTAACGATACATAGCGAATAATGCACCGTCTACGATAGTATAATTCACACAAAATAATTTAGAAATCCAGTATCACACGCTGCATGTAAATACACGACATTGCGTGGGTATTGTCGCACGTGATTATTTTTATACAAAACTTTAGCAAAAAAATGTGTGTCCTCTGATTTTTTAAATAACCACTCGATTATATGGTGCTTCTTCTCCCCCTCGCGATATAAACAATTTATACTTTACATTTCAACTCATCGTTCATTCTTACTTAAGATGCATGTTGCGTCGAGCGTGAGTTTATTAGTTAAGTGACGTATACGTAGACGTGTACCAAAATGTAAGACACAAGATTGCATTTGTGTGTTTTTAAACTTTAACGTGGAAAACGGTAATGTTTTGTGTTTTCGTACTTTTCCGCTATGGACAGATACATATATTTATGTATGCGTTGTACGTGTGACGTGAAAAAGTATAAAAACGCGAAATACTACGATTCTGTATACATTATGTTCATGAACGCAGAAACGCAATGTTGCGTCATACACTATTCGCTAAATGGCAGAAAGCCCGATTCGCTTGTATCACATTTTCTTAAAAGATTTTTCAATAAAAACATTGTTTTTCTAATAATATGACGCGTGTAATATTTTTTTTCTTTTGTACGACGAACGCTTTGTTATATTTACGTAAGTCATTAGGCGGCGATGATACTCATATTTCCTCATTTTATAATCCATTAACGCGTATCTCTGGGATCTTAATGGGAGGAGGGGGGCGCAAAATATTCTTTTAATTGATTAATATATTATACGTGATGAGAAATAGATGGAGACATCGGGCTGATATAAATACGTATTTTTCGATACTTTCGTCATTTATTTTTATTAATTTGTAAAATTTCCTTGTCTAGTTTTACGGCACAGATAAAATGTATAAACAAATATATCCGTACATAATAAAAGAATGTCAGTATAATAGATATCCAATGAAAACACGAAAGTATGATCTGGTCATGTTTCATATACTAATGTGTATATATAAACATATATATATATACATATATATGTATATGTGTATATATATAAATATCCTCTCGAATGGAAGAAACACGCATGAACAATTAACTTAAACAAGATCCATGAATCCGAGTAGGCATTCGATAAATCGTTAAAACAGTGATAAAATCATCATAGAGTGAATAAATATAACAATCGAAGACATGGCCACATATGTTAACAATTGGATATTACTTCTTATTGTCCTTGCTTTCCTTGCTTCAACGAAAGCATGTAATATTGATGGGAGATATTATAGTAGTACGCAGTGGCGCGATACGCGATTATAATTAAAAAGATTCTTAAAAAAGAAAAAAATATACCGTTAAAAATAAAATAATATATATCCTACAAATTATAAATTATATAAGTTACATCTTTGGGCAGTCAACAAAATTGTTTCGCTGCACAATGGTGTATGCGAGATACGCCGATACGATGCTATCGGACTAAAATTATTTTACACGTAACAAAATATTGGCATCTCTCAATGGCATTCAGCAAGTTACGTCTAATAAAAACGACTAAGAAGCTTTTCGTTTTCTCCTCTTTTTTCTTTCTTACAAAAATGACTCGTAGCACGGCAAAATTTAGCCGAAAATCGTTGCCGAAATGCCGGTTGCCCACGCTTCTGCACAGCTAGTGGAGAGCATTCGTCACGAGCAGTGGGATCAGGTAATTTTCTTTTTGGTTGTTATGGCAATACAATGGAGATAAGTAAACGGTGTCTCGCTATTACTATTTAGTGATAGGTATACAACGAACGTTCGAGAACAGCGCTGGACGATTAGTCATACTCTTCAATTATATACCGCGGACATTTAGCGGTGGGCGATAAGTGCGGTGAAGGCGCTAACGGGCTCATTCTTCACGGTACATCCCTGCGCAAATATTCCAATTATGAGGCTTCGTTAAAATATAGATCTGACCAAACTGTACCGTGCAAAGTTCCAGTTGAATTATGCGAATAAAATATGCGGTGCTTAATTCATTGTCGCGTAAAGCTTACACGATACTGTGGAACTTTCGTTCTCTGTCTATGTACATATTTCACTCGATAGTCGATTAAGCGCATACCAAAAATAAACAAGCGCGTGCTTTATCGTGAGAAGTCTATAAACACACTATGTAACACGTAAAGTGGGTGACTCCTCGGCGTTTCTTTCCGTATATAGTTTTGGCATCGACACTTCTACACAGGAGTGATCTTTTTTAACGTTAAAATACATCATGCAAAACGAACGCATCCTGACAGCCTGTCTCTCATCAGTACTTGGTAAAATTAAACTCTTGATAAATGTAATATATAAAGAAAAAATAAATATTTGTCACGTATTATCTGTATGCAACAACGGCGGTAGATGAATAACAAGCGGCATAATATATTCTCAATAATCTTTAGCGAATACCGACGCAAAAGTGATCGAGAAGATTTAACGCATCTATTGAATATTACACACATATTACTCACATCTCATACTCCATATCGTTAGGTCCATTTCGAGAAACGAGGAAAGACAATTGACGAGAAAAGATTTTAGGTTTAACATTCACTTGAGTATATCCTGTATAGAGAGTGCATATTTGAACTAGATGAAGATAGATAACCGTTAAACTTATTTCAGGGACGTATTTAAGTAATATGTACAATCCAGTGATCCTCTTGCAACTTTCGCGGAGAGTCGCGCGCGTGAAGTGGCCGTGTGAAAATATCTTAAAATAGCCGAAAATTTGGAAGCTTGAGATGCGCATTATAATTTGTATACGTTGCAAAATTTTTACTTATGTTTAAGTACTAATGGCAATGCTATATTATTAACGGACAATTTGATATTTGATGTAATATCAACCCGTTTGTCTGAAAGAACAAACGTAATTGAGAGAAAAAAGAAAAGATCGTGCCAGTAAGGCGAGAAATAACGCGTATATATTTCTTACGTTTTCAATTCTCATTTTAGAATTTTCGAACTGTTTTAGATTGCGTTCGAACTGATTAACAATACTGCAACGCGTTCAGTTAGCCTTTCGTGCTTAAGAGAGAACGTCGCTTCTTTGGCTTGTATACATGATATTCTTTCTTATAAAGATATGTAATATTACTAAGACGCGGTATAATGTAACGATATATAACGTAATATAATCACTCTGTAGTAATAAAGAAGCTTTAAGCGTTACGATAAATTGATGAAGAAAATTACTTAATTATCAATATAGTCAATCACGCGCATTTCCTAATAAAGTTCTACTAACGATTTCCGTTATTTCATGCTTGCGAATTTAAAGCATCGGAACATCGGAGATCGTTTGCAGGCCGATTCATCTTATTGCTAACGCTATGGGACATGCTCGTCGTTGGTGCTCTTACAAGAGTGCTTTGAACGCAGAAGATCGTAGGAGATAGTTGAAGAGCACCGAATATACATTGCGTGTACGTATATGAACATAACATGCTAATATATTATTTTACTATTTGTACATATATTAAATTAAAATAGATATCCGCGCGCTAAAGAGATGCGCGCTAATGCTATATAACTTATTCTGTTTTATACAGATATTTCAACTGACTTGCAGTTAATCACTGGAGGAAGAGAAGCAAAATATACTTTCTAGCGAAACTTAAATCAGACATATGCGGTTGTGATATTTTACATAAAAAAATGTATATAAAAATCGATACTCATGGTTTTACTCGTTACGTAGAGCAGGCGTTTGCCTTTACTTGTAGTTGCGTAAACGTGTGACTAGGAAACGAAAGCATCGACAACTTTTCAATTATCGTGTTCTACTATTAAATATATAGAAATTGTTATATAAGAGAGAGCTCACACACAATAAGCATATATATATATATATATATATATATATATATATATATATATATATGTATGTATATATATTTATATGTGTGCGTGTGTCTCAGATCTGGTATACATATCAGATCTTTATAAACATGTTCTATCTGTAATTGCTAATAGATCTGATATGGTAATAGCATGTAACGTGGAGAGAGAAAGTGAAAACTTGTAGGAAAATAATCTGCTCCGCCTCTTTTCCGATGCTCGAGAAGATTATACTGTGTATCTTTCTCGTTTCCGACTACTTAAAAACGTTTCGTGCACAACATACAAATACAAGTAACAACGAATCGTCCTACAAGGGATAATACCATCCATTGCAGATTCTTACACATCTCTACACAAAAGAGACAGTATTATACAAAATAATTTACTACTCCGATTACTATCGATTTCTTCTTCTTTTTTTTCTTTTAAATACACTGTGTGTATTTACAAGGTGCACGTTCATATCATATACCACTGAATACGCTATTGAAAAAACAACTTACTGCAGTTGATTCTCGTACAAAAATGTTACTAGCTATACAGATTCTTCAAACTGATGGTATTACATGGATTCGTGAGAGTACGTGTAGATTTCAATGTGGTTGAGATTCGTATTTTCGACTCTCGTGATAACCAGAAGAGTCGATGGTCGATATAATGCCTTATGTACAACCTGGCATACACGACGTATGCTGTGCGCATTGAACAGCACTCTACGTATCACATGGTTGGGCAGCAGTGGTCAAATTCCTAATGGACTATACATCGTTACGAATGTATATATGCTGTAAATCGCAGCATCTCGAGATATCTACATAATCTATTTGTACTGTGTGCAATCATGTACTTTGCAATGTACTAAACCAGTGCATACTAATGAAGAAATATCGCGTTTGAGTAGAAGGGGACACGATTAACGTTACATGGACGCTCGAGTCTGAAAAGTTATTGAAGAGTGCAGTTTGCCGTATCAGTAACGCAAAAAAGATATCCGGCTGCGTCGTAATCAGTGGACATTACATAATGATAGCACGTGCCAGCAGAAAGAATTGTGTCAGCTGACGAATTCTGGCTTAATCATTTCGTAATGCCGGTTCTGTTGTTTTCATAATTTCTATTCCAACGTTATCAGAACAAAATTTACGTTTTTAGAAAAATTAATTGTCGCTGTCTGCATAATCGTCGCTGTCGCCGCTATCGTCGTGCTTCGACCGCTGTTGCGTACGAATATCCAACGAGTTCGTTAATAAATTTGCGCCCTTAACCATATCCATCGAATCGTCCATCAAGATGTCCAGATTTGGCGATAATGCGTCCCCTGACGCAATATTGTATGATCTGCGAGTAAGAAATTTAATTAAACCGAGCTATTTTTTGTTACTGATTCTAACCGCGAAACATTAAAATAGTGTATATTTTTGCTCTTGAAAAAATATTTAGACGTTTAACCGTCAGAGATTTTCATATATTCAAAGTATTAGAGAACTGAACTGTAAAGCTATCGTACTAAAAGCTACATAAAAATGCAAATGTATACGTGGAAAAAATATAACTCCGCATATACATATTTTAAACGACAATGTAGAAGAATTAATTGATATTTATATTAATAAATGAATATATGAATTGACGTATGCATAACGTAAACCAAGAGATATACATATGCGTCAAAAATATTAGAAAGGGCACAATAAAATATTATAGAAATGTATTACAAGATTTTGTGTGACAAAAAGGATAAAATTAGCAAAAGATAAATAGAATGCGAAACGTGTCGCATTTTCAATAACTCGTGAAACAAATATGGAATAAGCTTGAACGTTAATTCGGTGTGTTAATTTATATTTAAACACATGCATTTTTCAGCATCCTTTTTTGTTCTTTACTTACTGAGCTGTAGATGATGGTTACATTTCATCATCACACAGCCTGCAACAAACGTATATATCGCACCATTGTCATTATAATCATGATAAAAAGGAAATACGTACTGTTAGTTGACGTCGAGTATAAAATATCTATAAAACACGCAATAGATACTTAATACGCCGGAATCGTATATATATATATACTCAATTATATATAATTTATAATTATACATAATTATTAAATTATATATAATTCATATATAATTAATATTTAAAATATATTTGTGTGTATATGTGTGTATGTAGTGTGATCAATTTTGATTGTCATCAAATATAGAAGTCCAAAACAACATTTTTATAGATAAACTGTAAACGTTTGAAACACAAATAACACTTACGTTTGTTCATGTTGTTCGTTGCCGCTCTCTTCAGCAACCAACAACTCGTACTCTTCTGCTGCGAAACGATCCCAGTCCGAGAGCTGTCGAGGATAAAACACAATTATGATATTTGCACTGATAAAAATCGGTTATTTTAAAATTACTTTTACAATGTGTGTCTTTAGCGTGGTCAGTTGGAAGGGATTCAGGTAATAAACTGAGAAGATAAACACGATTTACCTCGTGACCGTCTGCATCGTGATCCCTCGTCGAAGCAAACGGATCCCTTTGCTCGTGATCCAGATATTTCTCTAGATTGAAGAAAGTGTCAAAGAAAATGGACGTCATTTTACATTTCTTTAAATCGCTCAATGATATCTTGCCTGGTGTTGCCGGATGAATCATATCCAACATCTGAAATAGATTATAGCCATCCTGTGTGATTATACTAATACATTTCCTTATTACTCTTTAACATAAAATATACAATTCTGATATTACCTGACAAAGACAATCTTCGAAGGGCAATGTTTCCAGACCAATTGCTTCCATTCGATGCAGCTGCTCTTCATAAAAGTACTCCAATTCGTACATCGACAAATAACCATCGCCATCAAGATCCATGCATCTATCGACGAAAAATTATAACACGTACTAAAAGACAAACGGTGCAACTAAATTCTACCGCCTTGCGACATAACCGACGCAAAATAATTACCTAAACCAGTATTCAATGGCAGTTGGGTGGTTTTTATCTTCCTCACTGAGAAGAAACCAAACAAATTCTGTGTAACTCATTTTATCCTCTGGCTGCTGCGTGCCGTTACTGCTTTTTACTCCTCCACCTCTTGTCACTGCACCGCTAAATATTCTCTCAATCATTCGTGTCGACAACGCTAAAGACAATTCATGAATTAGTAGGGTTTTGTACAAAAAGGACGGCACGTGATGTCTGTAATTGCAATATTATACTTTTCACCAGTACACATTTTCTTACCATGATCATTATGCCTCGTTAGATCCATTTTATCAATGAAGAGATCATGGTCACGATCCAGCTCCCAGAATTTGCAGTATATCACATAAAAGTGTTCGTAGCTGAAGTAGGCTGTAACTTGATTGATATCTTCCTCGTGCTCAAGCACAGCGATCACCGACAAAAGATTGCTTCTTCTCAATTCCGCGACGGAAATTCTGCCGCTCCAACTCCGATTCACGCAATAAAATATCCTGGCGATCACCTGTAATTGCGGTCTTCTCGATAATTTGTACTTATAGCGGTACGCGAGGAAACACGTGTCGTCGGATGAAAAACGTGCAACAGAGAGATATCTCGTACAAACCGTGTGTACGTAGCGGGAATGAAATTCCGTAGCTTCTTTCAAGAATGTCAATCCCGGATGTGTTTCCACTACATCCTGCACAAGTGGAATCAAATCTTCCGGGAGTATATTATTTCGGAGTCCTCGGGTGACGATTCTGATAAATTTACTAGCTGCATCGTGGTGAGTGCTCGTCAGTCTGTAACGATTGATACAATACTGTATAGTATACAGTATTTATAAACATTATTGGTGGAGCGCCAGTAAGATTTATAGCGCAAGATATTTCTTTAGCAAGTGAACAAAGAAATTTTGTTTAATATCTTCTTTACAACTTTTTTGATCTTTAATCTATGATAATATTATATAATCAATTTCCTATAGAAATATAGATTGCGTTTTATATCTTACTCTTTCCAAAATTCCAAGAAAGCATTCATCTCGACGTATCCTTTCGGGTCACCATCCGCCGCCAAGAAAAGCGGTATTTTCCAATATAATGGCAAGTCACAAGCCTACATAATAAGGAAACAGAATTGACGTAATTTATATTGTTGCAGAATATATATATATATATATATATATATATATATATATATATATATATAAAATTAAGATGTAAGAATAATAATTTTGCAAACTTGTATCAATTACAAGCGTCCAATAAAGTATTATTATTATTTATTATTAATGTTATTGCTATATTAACGTCGCGTATTATTAAAGTTTTGGTTATTGTTGTTAAGATAAATCAGTGGAAGAATGCCGTCGTGTATGAAGATGTAAACGCTGACCTTCGTAATTGTGTGGAATTGTGCACGGAAAGCGCGGCAATTCGGTAAACTTTGAAAGGTCGCGGTGATCTTCGAGACGGTGGTTTCCAATTGCGAGTGAGGAATTGGTTTCCCTCCGGGGAAATAAAATCTACAAGGCACGATATCTCAAAATTAATGAGACGTCTCTATCAATTGAATTCACAATCGAGACAAAGATGGATATTCTCCGGAATACGAACCTTGGTATGTAAACATTTCTATTGGCTTTCACCTGCCTCTGTAGTGTCGTATGCGGCGGTAAACTCTTCTGAGTCTTTTCTCTCGTGTAAGTCTAGAAAAGGATAAAGTTGCGGTTAAATTTCTGTTCTTGTTGAGCGTGCAGTGAAACAATTAAGCACACCTATCCTCAAGAATATACTCGTGCTGGTCGAATCGAGCGAGAGATCGCGACAAGCTCTTCCTTTCGAGGCTTGCATTCCGCGAGTTCGTTATAACGTTGGGATGATCAAGGACGCGCTGACATCCTATTACGAGACATCGTAAGAAGGTTTCGAGGAATGCAAAGAGGCGATCGCATAGCGCATTGCCGCGCTACGGTCGCGCGGCTGGTTACATCACGGCCGTTATACGATTGCTCTCGCTCGGTTCACGTGGCACGATAATAGCCATCGCACGTTTGCACGAGAAGCCTTTGCACGTGCTGAATATCGGCAAACAGATCTCACCTTCTGAGAAGAGCGATGCGCATGATTCACATATTAAAAAAAGCTTTCCTTTTTCTCTTTATTTTTAAACCACCTTTGTACGTGGAACTTGACCAATAAAGCGTGAATAACGAGACTTAAGATCCTTAAGAGTTTGCATTGCGACGGCAGACGAGCCAATTTCCCTTCGCGATAATTATTCGTTGCGGAACCAAGTGTCCTATCGCCTGGACAACAATCACACGGCATATCTGCCTCGTCCCTGAATTATTTCAACAGTGAAACTTTCACCGTTTTACACTTGAGCAATGCGCACACCACCCACGTAATGCTAATACCAATGCAAGCGGATATAACTTGTCTGCCTACATACGGACTAGCAGACAGACAAGGATACAGCCCGCTCCTATAAATGCCATATTCCGCTAATAAAGCGAGTTTGCAAAGAGAGAAAGAAAAACAACACAACCACGCGCCGACAAATCTGTCGATCCGTCGAGCTCAAGTCCCTGAGGGAATTACCTGGGCTTTGCTTTGCACCTCGTGGCCACTTCTCCACGTATTAATAGCCGGCTGACGGGGACCACGCTTGTCCAAGAGCAGTTCGCTCGGGCATTTCTCGAAGATGAGCACACGTTCTGCCACGGAGCCTCTAGTGAGGAACGGTCTGACGGGATTGTTGCCCGTTCCCGTCGCCGCGACCGCTCTGATGTGTTGTTTCTGTTGGCTAGTCAACTCCGGATGAGGCACGGCCTGCTCCAGACGCGGTCGCGGCGAAGTAATTCTCGGCCTCCATCTGTTGTCACCGTCTGCACTCACCGTCGGCACCCAGTCCTTCGCGTCTTTATCCTTGCGAATCTCCATCTCGAACTTCGTTCTCGCGCTGGAGACCAATTGCTCCGTAGAATTGTACGGTTGTCCGGAAGCCCGCTGTTCCTCGAGTCGCTGTTGGGTCGGCGGGTTCTGCTGAGCAGCTTGATACCTGACCTTGGCGTAGTCCACCGCCGACATGGTGGACAGGTCATCTTTGCTGAGCGTCTTGGATTCATTGACTAGCGGAATATGGCCAACTGGTACTACGGCGGTGGCGGCGGTGGCGGCGGTGGCGGCGGTGGCGGCGGTGGCGGCGGTGGTGGCGGTAATACTGCTGACGCTCGCTGTGTTCGCCGTCGAGTTGGGTACCGTCAAACCAGCCCCGTGGTGATTATGGCCGATAATAATCTGCTTGACCGGGTCGACCTTCGGTTTCTCTCGTTTGATCGCCGGCTTTTGTCTATTGCGCGCACACACTGCAATTCTGTCCGGCTCCTCGCTGATAACCGCGCCCGTTTTTAAAGCATTTATCAGTCTTTCCTCCTCCCGCGCAACCTCATCAAGGTATGCGCATCGCGAGTTCTTGTCCGTTGCGACCGATCTCTTCTCGTCCTTTGCCGGACTCAACGACGTTCTCGCGATGTCTTCCGACTGCAGTGTTTTGATTATCTTCGTGCGGGATGCGTCTGTGATCCTCTTGGCATCGTTCAGCTTGTTTTTCAACGGCCACGTCGTCAAGCCCGAACCCGTCGAGTGTGACGAATCGATGTCTAATGAGGAACTAGTAGGCGACGATGCGATTAAAGTGCTGGTTGGCCTCTTCTGCTGCGTCATTCTCTTGGTAGGTGTCAGGTCGGCCGGGAAGCTAGTTTCAATAGTCTCCAAGAGGACCTCGCAGTGGTGAGAGCCGGGTGTTTTCGCGGGGACCTGAGGCTTCACTATCTGCGACGGTTTGTTCGAGAACGGCGAGGTAGGAGACAGCAGGATGCTCGTCAATTTCTTCGAGCTGTCGGCCACAGTCACGTTGTTTTTTGTGACTGGCGACGGTTGCTGTTGCATGGAGTTCCTCTCGAACTTCTGCAGGGCGAACTGTATGGAAGACGGTAATGGCTTCGGCGATGACCTCTGCTTCGAGGCGGCTATTCTAGCTTTGTCCTCTACCACGAAATTGTTGACTAGCTTCTCCAGGTTACCATTGTCCAGATTCGGCGTCTGAGTCAATATATCCACTGCTGTCGGGGAGGTTCGGCCGAGCGACGGCGACGGGGAGGGCGACGGTGACCGCGAAGCCTTGCCGGTGATGTTGTTGCCGGTGGTGGTGGTGGTGTTCCCGGAAGAATTGCAAGGTGTCAGCGCGCTGCCGAACTTGTCGACGGCGGTCGCGTTGCTGTGGCAGGTCAAGATTTCCGTCGGCGCCAACCCGCGGCTCTTCCATGTCTGATAGATCGCCTCCGCGTGATCGCTGATCTGCTTGGCGATCGCGGCGATGTCCTCCTCGCCGGACGTGGACGTGTCCGCTGGGAACTTGCGACGTAGATCGTGTTTGGCTGTAGCGGCCATTTCATAGGAGCACGCTTGTCGATGCGAGCGCAGCTGCGGGTGATGGTCCAGCAGGAAACTCACCGCCCGGCTACTCAAGTCGCCGGACTGATCCAACACCAGCTCAACGAGCTCGGGACTTTCGCGGACAGGTACGACGTTAATTGGTATCGCGTAGCCGAAGTGGATCGTCTGACAGTCTACTCGCTCGCGTCCCGAACGTGACTCGTTCACCAGGCAGGCGTTCAAGTCCGGGCAGTGTACCGCTCTGCTTGGACGCGGGTCGACAGTCGCTGACACGAAGAGATCGCGGCGGGTCGCGTAGACCCGGCAACTCCACGACGACGACGACGACGACGACGGTCGACACTGCTCCGCTGCTTCGGTCGATAGCGACGAGGATGTCGATGATAGAGGTGTTACCGCTATTGCTGGCATATCTCAGGCCGGTTGGCCCAAGAATCTCGTTCTCCACAGCCGCGATGATATCCTGTGATCTCCCTCCACGTGACCTGTCATTGCCCTTTTTTTTCACTCGCGCTTTTCGTCGCTATCTCTCTTGTCCTCGCCACCGCGCCTGCGATTGGCGTTGTGTCGTTAAAGGCCCCTTAACTGTGCTCAACGGAGTAACGCGTTTGAAGCTTGCGAATGAACGGTGATCTGCAAAATAGAAATTTGTATCAGCACGATTGTTGACCGAAACATGATGAGAGATCACACACGAAGTCGTCGTATCAGAAGCTAAATTCTATTACAGAAAAATAAGCTGAATTGTAGACTGACTATGAAATCATTCATTGTGACTTGGTGATTAGTAAACTTAAAGACCTTCTTTATGCGATACCAAGGTGCGGTTACAAAAGTACCAATTCCACGTACAGTGGACTGAGCAAAGATCACGATACTTTTTCTCGATGAGTTTCGTAATACATATTGCGCGAATGAATTGTTACGTGTTTATCACTTGTTACAAACCGCGCGAGAGTGATTGACTCGTCCAGTTTTGTTGACATGAAAACCACGTTAAGTTTAGGCAGGGTTAAACGTGTTATTCGCTGCAAAGTCTGCATTCGACTGTGTCGGTCGATACCCCCACTGCTGGTTTACGACAATCTCCCACCACCACCCTTATGTATACACATGACGGTCGTCGTATATATTGATACATCGGAAGCTAAATTCTATTACAGAAAAATCAGCTGAATTGATTGTAGATTGAAATAGATAAAATTATCCACTGCAATTTGCTCGATTATAAGTAACAACTTAGCTTTTCGCTATTGCTAATAATAAATTACTTGATGAAACTTCAATTGAATGTAACAACTTAGATAAACATATTATTTGCTTAGTGATTAGCACGTAAAGATGCGTCCTCATACAATAAGAATTCTTTCAGTATATCAAAGGAGTCATGTAATGCCATGGAAATTGCGGCAATACTGAGATGATATTCCGATACTGCGAGAATTGTTGCTTATTTTGCCAGCAAGAGAACGCAATTAATTCGAAATTATTGTACTATAATAAAAAGTAAATTATGACATAATAAATGAGTATTTCTCCAAACAAGTATATTTTAAACACGTTAGGCTGTTACAATAGTACCATATATTAAATATTTGCATGCTATGTGTAACGTCTCTGTCTATCTGAGAATGAGAATAATCGGTTATTTCCGCCGAAAATATAGCAAGTTCTTGAGTAAATATTAAGCTCTTCTTATTTTATTTATTATATTATATTCCCGTCGTATATATATGTGTTTACTCTTGCGTTATCCGTTAAGCGCCATTTTAGGTCAATCTATAGGTCGGTTTAGCGAGGCGTGAGATTAGCGAATTCCTTTCTATAGGGAAATGTTATATCCCGACGATATCACGGGGTTCCCCGTACGTAATCATAATACAGAAAAGATTATTCGCAGACAGACAGAGTAGATCAACTGTTTCGTATTACGGGTCGACTACCGTTACTGACCCTAATAATCTCGTTGGCTGCTCTCGACGATCAATTAATTATGGCCTAATTGGCGTTAAAGGGCTGATATCGCGGACAAGCCGGTACGCTCCCCTGCTTAGCAACGATATCGACGACGTCGCGTGGAACGCGAGGAAAAAAGTCAAAGAAAGACTCGCCGTCGCGCACGGAGATTCCATGCACGTCATAGATCGATAAATAGTACGTGCGTGTAGAAAAAAGATCGTATTTATTACAGCGAACGAGAGAGAAAGCACGATCTCTCTCTTTCTCTCTCGTGCGCTCTTGTGTCTCGCGCGGCGATAATAAACCTCGATTCTCTCTACTTCTATGCATAAACAAGCGTTTCCTCTCTATCTCTCCAAAGAGTTCTCTTAGTTAACGCTTCCTTCGTTTTGTTTGCGATGCCGCTGTAACTTCTACACCTATCGGTCTTCCCTGTTGTCTCGATATTTCGAGATATATTAGAATGCATATAACTTCACCGCGGTGAGTCGATCCGCGATTATCGTGAGCCTATATTCAGTCCTCTGCAATTCGTATATAGGGTGTCTACATTATTGCATTGTTCTCAACGCCACTAAGTATGACATGAGACAAGCGTTTTTGGCCACTATAAGGATACATTGTAAACACAATGTTATAAATATATCATCAAAATTAGTCAAAATCACTATCGATTCCTATTCGATCGTTGAAGTCAAGCAACCTAAATCTTAGTCAGGTAGGAAGATAGGTGACTGTATTATGGGATAATTGATATGAATATTTGTGGATGAAAAATCGCGATAGGAGAAGAGTGCACTCGATGGAGCAATAAAAGGAAAGTGTCAGTAATACAAAAAAAGAAATTGCCAAGTTTCTTAAGATTATTTAAATAATATTATCGAGTATTTGTAATAAAATGATAGAGAAAATTTGGAGAGGTAAAACAATTTTTTTTTTCGAACTAAATAATAAATTGTTTTCAAATAAACAATCAGTTGTATTTATTGATTTGAAGATTAGTTCCTTTGGATTATCCCATTGGTTAAGTTTGTATTTGGATGCAATAAAATTTATTAAATCCAAAGAAATTTTTTTCTCTGTGTAAATATGATTTCCGTTGTGTGCTCGTAGGTAAAACTGAACAAAAAAGTACTCTACTATTTTGCAAATAATTACGTAGATTTTTTAATTATTAATTAAAAAGAATTGCGCGAATGATCACGCGATTATCAAACAATATTCTTATAATTAATAACGAAATCTACGTGATTATTTGCAAAATGGTAAAATGGTACTTTCTTTGTGTGTGTCCAATTTGATCTAAGATACAAGCATACAACGAAAATCGTACTCATCGTCACACTTTATGTCGCGTCGTTCGCACGCTGCAATCTTCTTTAATTAATAACTCAGAAATCTATGTGGTCGTTTGTGCAAAACGGCAAAGGAATTTTGTTCAGTTTGATCTAATCTACCCGCGTGTATGTGTGTGTCTCTGTGTGCGTGTATGTATGTGTCTTTGTGTATCTACGAACGTGCGTTCGCGACACCCCGTATAGTTCCATCTTAATTTATCCTTCATTAAGAAACGCCGATGACAACGTTCTGCGACGACGACGAAGACGACGAAGACGAAGACGAAGAGGAAAACGAAGGCGCCGACGACGAAGGGGAAAATGAAGACGAGGACGACGAGAGGTATGCTCTCGGGCGGCTCCGTCGAGTGTCGTTCGCGCTCGAGCAGTGCTAAGAATACCGCGGCCAGCCATATTTGGCAATGAGACCGCGTGACCACAGTGCGTAGCCCGCGCAAACATGGACGCTGAAAGAATCGGCTCTTTCTTCTGCTATTCTTTTTCGGTGAAAGAGGAATCTCATGGTGCATGGCCAAAGTCGGGGAAAGCTCCGATCGGGAGAAACGTTCGCGCTAAAACAGGAAGATTTGCAGAGAAAGAAAGAGAAAGAAAGAGAAAAAAGAGAGAGTAGATTTGCAAAGAGAGAGAGAGACATAGAGTAGATTTGCAGAGAAAGAGAGAGAGAGAGAGAGAGAGAGAGAGAGAGAGAGAGAGAGAGAGTAAATTTGCAGAGAGAGAGAGAGAGAGAGAGAGAGAAAATTTGCAGAGAGAGAGAGAGAGAGAAGCAGCCGGCGCATTCTCTCATTGCGGTACCCATTGCTTTCACGCTGCATCCGCTAAGCGATACTTGATTCTGACAATTTGCCAAAGATTCGACATTGTTTGTGGATTCCATCATTTTCGATGCTGCGCCCACACGAAGAAAGCTTCGTGGTGTGAGCGAGCTTGAGTTACAGAGAACTAACCTTTCGATTTCATCATTCCGTCACTCTCTTAGCTATTATAGACGGTTTATAGGTAGGAAAGTTCAAAGGGGATTGTCTAGGGACGCCGCGCCCACCTTTCAGTTTCTAGGTCAGATCGGAAGGGTGTGGTGAAGGATCCGAATGCTGATCGAATTGAAAATGATTTATCGAAGCGTCAGTTTTCATAATCCGCTCGTCGCGGAGTTCTCAAGCTCAAGTGAAGCGTGTAGGCGCGCCGTTTGGTGCAAATATGCCTGTCATTTCGCGATAAACAATACTAGGCGGACAGTATGGTATCGCATTGGATTAGGCTGTGATTAATCTTGCGAGTGACAACGTGTTTTCGTTACATTCGGAGTAGCAATCAGAGTCATTAGTGCCTTTTTCGACTTTTCCCTTTATAAAGTGGTAAAAAAAAATTCTCAGAAATTATTTTAAATCTTTCCTTATCTTTAACAGATCACATTTCTTACTATTGAAAATCATATAGCTTCTCTGTGAAAAATGAACCGCTAAGGATTTTATTTTTAAACCTCTTAGATGATTATATATATATATATATATATATATATATATATATATATATATATATGCCTAAAAAAGTTTCGCGGTAAAATATTAAATTCCTTTCGATTTAAAAAACTCTAAAAAATTATTGAAACTTTCTTTACTCTTCTAGTTGAAAACCACATAACTTCTATTATTAAAAACATTTATTATTATGACAAATAAATTTCCAGCTGTTTTATTTTTAATCCTTTAAGTGATGCTCGGAAAAGCTTTGTGATAAAATATCACAAAAATTGCTTTTGATTTAAAATATTCCAAAAAATCACTGAAATTTCCTTTATCCTTCTAACTAAAAGCCACTTTTTTGTGAAAAATAAAATGCTAGGTATTTTATTTTTAATCATTAAAGTAGGGTATGCCCGGAAAAAGCTTTCGTGACAAAATATTGCAGCTTTTTTTGACTTACTTAAGCTATTGTATTTCTTTTTAGCTCAGAGCAAATACAAATGACAATTAGATACATCTTGTATTTTGTTTTCTGAAACTCTTCAAAGAAAACAGCAATAAATAGAAAAGAAACCCACTCTCTTAAAGTGAATTAGTAGAACATCACTGAAAGCATTAAATATACACTGATTTGCAGCTATAAGTATAGCACTGAAACTGCTCAGTACTATACTTATAACTGATATCAATGACTATTCACTGATTCACTTTAAGAGAGCAGATATGCTCATTAAAAAGAATTAAAAAAAACCCGTCCTGGGGAGGGATCGCGCAATCTGTTTCTCATTTTAAATCAGCATTGAAGAGATTAAATGATGTTTAAATAAAAAGGCTACAAGAAACGAGCACTTCTTTAGAATGGCCCGGACACAAGTGACCCTGGTTGCCACTTGAAGTTCTACCAGTGACTGCCAAATGAATCGCTCGATGTGAACTAGAGTAATGTTCCAAAGAAGTGTATAGCATATTAACGCGTTAACGGAGAGCAGCGGAAATGACGATGGCGAGGAAAAATGCGTCAAACGAACGGCGGGAAGGAGCGAACGCCGTAAACGGAAGAAGAAAGGACACTGCTTCGCGTAAACGGCAGTGAGAGTGAATGGATCGATGAAACCGTCTCGATGTCTTGGTGTGCCGACGAGAGGCGATCGCAGATGTGCGCCCGTCGCATCCGCGCTAGACATCACCGCAAGCTACCCAAAATTGCTCAACATGTACGGAAAAAAATGCTGTTGCATCAATAGAAATTGCTAACATCGCTGTAATCGGAGTAAATCTTGTTGATTCAACAGCAATACTATTGAAACCAATATATCATAAGTTGTTTCGATGACTCAAGTATCAGTTTCAGTGGCATTCCCGTTGAATCAAAAAGACTTACTCCGGTTACGGTGAAGTTGACGATTTCTACTGACACAACAGCGTTTGCTTCCTCTGTGTACGAAACCCCGGATCCGCGATCGTTCGCGATTCTCGCGTAAACTGTCCGCGCGTTTTTTACGAGAGCAAATGAAAAGCGATCCCGATTCATGGAAAGTGGAACGGCCGCTCGGTCCATTTGCGATCGTACGCGCTGAGATCGCGAGCAGGCCGATACTTACACTAACATGCGCGAGCTCGTTTCGAACCTTCGCTCCTTCCTTCAGCTGCAGAGGGAGATACTATCCTCCACTCTCTCGGCGCCGATCGATTATTTTTAGAAATCCCGAAGACGCGCTTTTCTTTTGAGAAAGCTCATCGATCTCATGCCCGGCGTAATGTCGCTCGAGCCGACGTGTGGTGAAACAGGAGGTCGCGATTGTGCATTGACAACGTGGTGAAAATTGTAAAAGTGAGCAAATTAGTTAATTCGTTCACTTTTGTAATTTTCGTCAATCGACCCACTGTTGTAGTAAAATAAGATGTTTAAGTTGCAGCGATTTATCCGACGACCTTTCGGTCTGTGAGAACGTGGGGGCGGTTTAGTCGACAACAATATCATAATATCGTGAGCGCGCATCGCAGTTTAAAGGCGAGAAACAAACGATGGCTGATCTAATGTCAGGTTGCCACGGTAAATCGATATCTCAGCCTAATCTGCGGTATTATTCTCGCCTGTGAAAACATCCCAGATGAACACATGTACGCAAATTTTTTTCAGCAATCTTTCTAATAGATTTGTAAAGGTCGCGTCTCTTATGAGTGGTTCATGTGGTACTCGTATTTGTAATATAAAATGAAATAGAATTACAAAGAAAATATTACAAAAAGAATGCCCAAAACTTGCTCAAGACAACATGCAAAACGTGATATGAAGATCTGAGTGTAATTGTTAGCAAATTTATAGCTGCATCAATGCAACAAAAAATTTGCATTATTGTATAATGTAAATTTAATGATTAATTCAGTACAATATATTTGTCTCATAAACGTAATAAAAAAATTATACAGTTTCCATCATCGATTGTCTCACGTCGTGATAATCATGAAAGTCTATCTGGAATTTTATTACAATACATTATATTCGTAACGCGTTTGATTGATTTTCTCGACGAGTCACTTTGGAAATTTCAACAACAATTCTCACCGCCACGAATGCGCGTGCAAACGAGAACGCGTGGGAGTGTGCGAGGCAATAGTCTCTCTCTTTCTCTAATAGCAAACGCACACATTTATCTGCACGAAGGCAAACAATCAGCAACAATACGACTCTAACACGCTGGATTTTATCCTCCACCAAGTGTCTCGACTGGATCGCCAAGGCTACTCATATTCCCATTGAGCGCGTTCACATGCATTATCTGAATCTGATTGTCAGTGCTCTTAATTAATAATAAAAGTAATCTTCGCTTAGGAGAGGTGTGGAATTTTTATCGGTCGTGACATCATTAAATCAAAGTTACTGCGCTGAAGCACGCTATGAAATATATGATCCCTTCGTTATACATATCGTCGAAAAATGTTATACACATAAACAGTCACCAAGCGGTTCACGTATACACACATACACGCGCGCGCGTTGTTCTCCAGTTTCGCGCGATCATTGTCGCTCATTAAGTATACAGCACATTTGCTAATTCGCTTTGAGCGGCCAACGTGACTACTTTATAGCACAACGTTAACGCTTCTTGCGCATCGCCCGCGTCTCTACGAGTTGTGTAAAGAAATGTCTATCGTGGCTGTGTGCACGTACACATGTTTACAATGGATTCCGCGTGTCTAGCAAAGTATTTGCAAGAAACATAAATTTTGCGAAAAATGACGGAAGGAGCGTGCTCCCGGCCTAAAATAAGGGATGCAAAACGATAACATTACATAAGATTTAACCTGAATTTTAATCTAAATCAATGTGAATCAATAATATCCAGTTTCATCAATGTTATTTTAATTAATTAAGCTTAATCTACAATATGTTCTTTGCTTCCTATTTCTTGCTTTCCGTTTTCCTCTGGCCTAAAGTTTGAGATTTGAGTCAGATAAAGAGAAAGAAACAGAAAGTAAAGACACATTGTAGATCCAGTTTTAAACTTAATCTACAATGTGCTCTTTGCTTCTTGTGTTCCGTCTTTTTCTGGCCTAGGTTTGAGTTTTGAGTTAGAAAGAGATAAGAGAGATAAGAGAGGAAGAAACAGAAAGCAAAGAACATGTTGTAGATTAAGCTTTGAGTAAACTGTCTTCATACAAAAAGACTTAAACTAAAGTTAAAGTTTAAGAATGTTGGTGGAATCGAGTTTAAGATGACGATTGATTTACATTGAAATTCAGACTGTACGTAATATAATATTGTCTCCATCATTTTGAGCAGTGAGAGACGAGAGACAAAAGATACGACTGTATTGATATGATTTCTTAAGGTGGTACAGCTTGTAGTCGCCGGTTTTCCGGTGTTCGTTAGGATTTCCCTGCGGTTCCTCGGGCGATTTAAACGCGCCATTGCATGCAAGGAAGCTCCGTTGCACCGGCGATCTGGGTTAACTAATGCTTGACGCGATGCGCTATTCTTTCTTACATGAGTCCTACTTATTGGCATAAATGTAGAGAGAGAACGCGAACTTGCGTTGACCAAGTATGTTGATTCCGGGGTACGTAAGCGATCGTTCTAAGGCGAAACGCGACTCAAGCGGCGTATATTGAGCTTCATTCTTTGGCTTTGGTGCGGCTCGGGCTATCAACCTTCGACGACGTTCGTCGTCGTGTCTGAAGAAGGAAGGAAGGGATCATAGAAACGCGAGTAGTTGACGCAAGCTCGCGTATCCACACGCTCTGCCTCGGTAGAGACGGTCGAGCCGATCGATACGTCTAAGAACTATGATGAGCGTGTTTAGCGGGAATGAGAGTCGCGGAGTAGAATCTCGGGAATTCGTACCGTGGCTAGATGCGATGGTTCTCGGTGTCTGACGGGCGGGATCGGCGGAGACGTCCGTGTGTCCAGCTCGCGGAAAAATTACATTTTGCCGAGTCCGACGGAGCACAGGGGAGCAACACTGATCACTAGAAGGGAGCTTTTTCGGCCAGCTGGCGCCGTCCGATTTATATTCTCGCGAGCTTGCAGCAGCGAACGCCGCTAAAAGCGCATAGTCGGGCCCAACGCGACCGCACCCGCACCGTCCCGTGCCGCAATTGCTCGTACGTTACTACTACTGTCGCTACGCCGCTCGTTCACGCTCGCCGTTCACCACGCTGCACCCGCTTCGCCCGCTGCACCGAATCACACAGGACTGACCGAATGTACGCTATAACGTCACGGCGAAGCTTGCTCCATCTGCCTGCTTCTGGAGGATAGTGCTGGTCATGACAGAATTGGTAAGTCAGTAACTATCGTTAGCAATTTTATTATCACTCTGTACCAAGTTCCGTTCCAGTGTCGGCGTATTGAGCTGCGTTTATCCATTGAAACTGACGGGTATGTTAATTTTTCAGTCGCATAATAACTTTTTTATATAAAATAAACGTCATCACACACACACATTATTATGTCGGAGGACTTTTTATAATTTATATCGTATATAAAGACGTTTTTATTATTGTTATACACTAAGATTTTTTTTCCAAAGAAAAAATTATCTTTTAAACAATTTCTTTTAGATTGCATCTAGAGAATATGGATATAAATCTTATTAGTCAAATTGATAGTGATAACATGTAGTACACAAACCTTCACAGTTACAATCATTTATTTGAAAAAAAGTAAATGTAATTTATACATTTTTTATCTTAAATATAAAACAGAAATATCCATTTATTATTTGTCTACGGTTTAATGATGAATACTCAATGCATCACTTTGTACTTCATGGCTCAATTGTGTCTGTAAATTTGATAATTTGTTCTTCAATGCCGCAATTCCCATCATAACAATATTTTCGGGTTTCAAGGCGCCACTACTTTCAACGTTGAAATAATATTTATTTGGCTTGGCTTCCCAATTAAATGGTGCTTCATCTGAAATATATATGATGATAACATATATTTTATTACAAACATTTTAAAGTTTATACAAAAAATATAAAATTATATAAACTTACATTGATCTTCTTCTAATTCACTGTATTCTGACTTGGGCCACTCATCTGGTTTGGGGAATAAAGTATGTCTCATAGAATTGTCTGGGTCATATTCAAAGCTTACACCAGCAGTTGGATTCCATTTTGCATGTTCTTTCCCAAAACCTTTTTTTGCATATGCTCTTAATTTCAGTTCTTGTCCTTTCCTTAGTTTCACTATCAATATCTCTGAAAGATATACTTTTTATCACTTTCTGCTATATTTTTTTATTAAAATAATCAAGGTAATATATAAGAAATAAAAGAACACTAACCATCTGTTTCTCCGTATTCACTTGCATCATCTTCTCTATGTCTAGATGTAACAGGTAACACTCTAGAGTCACTTGACTTGAAATCTGCAGTAGTTACATGTCTAGTTTGGTCTTCAGTGCATTTAACATCCAGAGTAAATTCTACACTGCATTCTGGACAAAAATCCATACACTGACAATCTCTTGTATATTGTATTCTGTCAACTACCTGAAAAAAAAACCTTTTGCTAGTATTGCATCAATTATAATATTTAATGATATAGGATCAGTCGCTATATAACATACATCATCACTTATTAGTGGTATCATTCCAATCCTATGTGCCAAGAATTCGTCACTCAATACAGTAGAGTTGGCTTCCAGTTGTATCCAATCGATGGCCATGGTTGGAGTTTCAGCAATAAAGACACGTCTCATGCTATTCGCTACGCTAAAAATTAATAATTAATTAATTAATCAAAACTGTATTTTGTTTAATATTCAGATCTAACCTATCTAACCTATCTTACCTCAATTCCGTATCTTCCACTTGAAACTTAACATTCTCCTCAGTCAAGTCTGAAATATGGACTGAAGGTTGATTAGCGTATGGCATTTTATTTTTTAGAGATTCACTATTTTTCGTTTATTTACGATAATACTTAGTACACCAACGCAGTACAGAAGCACAACTAAATTCTAACGTTAGTGGAATACTGTAGCCAACTTTATATTGGCCATTTTCTATCTAGGAACATTATGTTACACGGAGCTATTTTATTGGCTATATGTCATCTTAGAAAATATCTTAGATACTATGCAGCCAATAAAATCACTTTATACAACACAGTGTTTATTACTGGAAAACAGGCATTATTTTTATTCGAGACGTAGAAAAACGAGAAGTTGGTTGGTTACGTTCAGAAAACACGATGATCAGTGAGTAGTAATTAGTTAGATTCCTAACTTTAAACTAATTACATTGACAAATTACTTAACTGTTGTGCAACCGTTGTTTTTTAAACACAATACTACTAATAGTACTTTTTTTAGTATATAGTTTATTTAGTATATAGTTTGTTTAGTATATAGAAATGAAATAGAGAGAGAGAGAGAGAGAGAGAGAGAGAGAGAGAGAGAGAGAGTGAGGCGGGTTTTTTTATGAAAACGCATTTTTTCAAAGCTATATTATATATACAACACTTTAGGGAAGATGATTGCTACAAAACATAAAATATAATTAAACAAATGTGTGAGATTTACATATATAGTCTATGTAGCAATATTAAATTAATGAAAAATGCAGTATACCTTTTTAGAAATAACAAGAGGAGCTATATTGGAATTGTTAAAATGTTTTATTAGAAAAATCGATCAATGCGCACATTATTCGTCGAGATTCATTTTATAAATTATGGACACATTTGGTAAAGTGCTTGGAAGAAGCTTGAAATTCGTTTAACATCAACTATGGAAATTGTTATTTAACTCTTTGCAGATCTAAAAAGATTGTGCTGTTTGTGTGCAATAAAAGTACAACAATATGTACAGCATAATAATGGCATTGTCGCTAAGACATAAACTTAATAACATTATATGTACTTGCAACGAGAAATAAAAGTTTCTCTAGTCCTAATTTTTTTATTTCTTTTTTTCCCGCGCGTTTTCTAATATGGCACTCGAGTTTGGTAAAAATTGGAAGACGATGATTTATATGTGACGCTATATACTCATGAATTATAAACACACACACACACACACACATATATATATATATATATATATATATATATATATATATATATATATATTATGTGTGTGTATGTGTGTGTGTGTATAGGTGTGCAGATTTTTCATCGATTCCGTGTTAGAATTTTTTATTCCAACGGGGCTGCACAAACGGGTAAATCGAAACATAAATACTGAATGAGATGCGTTAAAAATGCTAAATCTCATGTTGTCTGCCATGCAAATTTTCAATGAGTTACGAACACATAACTCTTAGATCAAATGAGCAAGAACAACTTCTCAGAGCTCATCCGAGAAGCGGTCAATATCCTGCAAATGATCACCATAATCAGTCGCTTCGCTACCCACGAAAGCGTCGTGGTGTTCTAAAATCTCGTCGAACGATAACCTATTATCGTGATCATCGTCGGAACCCGCAAACAGATGATCTACTTCGTCGCTTGCTATCTCCCTGAAATACACGAGAAGATATAACAGCGATATTCTGTTATGAACAATTCAGTGTAATAGCATTTTATGATACTATCCAGATAGATAGAAATGCTAAACATTGCATGCAAACATAGAGGTTCTGTTTTTTTCTATTGCTGAACTAGCTGCACTAGTTCTCTCTAATCTTTAAATATTTACTTTCTATTGCCACAATATTGTAGCATACTCACTCGTTACTCGGCACAAGCCAAGAGAGAATTTCGTCAGAATCGAGTCTGCCATCTCCATTTTTGTCATGCTCATAATCGAACTTGTCTTTTTCAGTTAATAACCATTCTTTGTCTTTTGATTTGGCTCTGTCACCGATAAACTCCTGGAAGCTAATGTAACCATCCTTATCTACATCTTTATCCTCTAAGGCTTGCTTCAATAAAAGCGGAAACATTCTAGGCGTCTCTTCAGGATGAGTGTAAGCCTTGAATTCCTCTGAATCCAAATAACCGTCCTTGTTCATATCAGCAGCTTCAAACGTTTCTTTATCGTCCTCGATCAGATCGTCATGAGCCAGGTCCTCGGGATTATTGCCATAAATATCCTGCAGGACTTCATCCCAAGTTACTTTGCCATCCTCATCTGTGTCAGCATCGTCCAATCGATCTTGAGATTCCTCTGCAGACAGCATGCTGTTTGCAACATTTTATTAACACACAGTGTTTAATAAATAAGGATTAGCAAGATGTTGAGTAAACAATATACCTAAATGAACGCAAGATCCAAGCTTTCAACTCATTCCTCTCTATATACTTGTCATTGTTCAGATCCATCTTGGTCAATAAGATTCCCAATCTTCTTTTGGATTCTCCTATTGGAAGTTTGTCAAATTCTTCTGCTTCCTTTACGCTTCCTTTGTGCATGGAATAAATAAGAATAAGATTAAAATAGTAATAATATGAAATTTTCCTATAGGTATAGGTTTTGTAAGAAGGATCAAATCTAAGTAAAAATATACATAACCATTTGAAATAAAATTTGCAATAAAATAATGTTCCTTTTTATTTAAAATAAGTTAGAATGTTTGAAGTTAATGAAACTGATATAAGTTAGTGAAAGTTACACACATAAACATTTGAAACATAGTCATAAGAAAATCAAAAGAGAGATACTTAAAATATCAAAACATACATCCTAATTATAGTCAAAATTAAGAAAACATTAATATTTTCTTGCTGTATCTATTTCCGTACAAAATATAATTTGATAAAATATAAAATTAGGATAGATACAGATTGCAGCTTTGAAGTTTCAATGAGGCAAATAAGAAAACAACAAAGTACATGAAAATCTTCAATCATAGTTTATAAATGCAAGATTATGATCAATCTAAATAGTCTGTATGACATACCTGCTTAAAAAATTAGATAAAAATTGGCAGAGATACATACCAACTTCATTGAAATACTACATGACTTGTTATTTCCATTAGGAATTTCAATTTTTCATATAAGTTCTCACATAAAAAAAGTCATCAATTTTTTTTGTAATTTTATATCATAACTTTAATGATTAAATATTTGATGAATATCACATGCCTTTTTGTGCATTTTTATCATTTTCTTTTTACTAAAAAGCCGCATAAATTTTTTTATGTAATTCTATAAAATCTTTTAAGCAGGGATCCCAAAGAGGATAATACGTTCTCCAAAATCGCCGGTTTGTACGCGATTTGTACCTAGGATAGCTTCGTGGTCAAACTCCTGATGATGCTCTCCCTCCGCGTAGTGATCAGCGTCGCGGGGGCTGAAGGCCCCGTCCTCCATCCTCTCATTGCTGTCGACTTTGTTGTGCTGATGCGTGTGAATGTGCGCGGAGGCGGCGTCGCAGGCAGAGGAGATGAAAACGGTAAAGAGGAACAGGACGAGCATCTGAATGCCGCAGATAGCCATCGCGTGTCGCTCACGTTGAGGTGATATGCAACGAGACTGGAAATAACGCGAAACAAGCACCTAAGAGCGACGGCGCATAACCTCTTCGTTGAAACTTTGACGGTCGCCGCGGGCGCGGGTGCTGCGCCGATCGACTGACATTGCAGGCCGCGAGGCGGATATTATCGATTATTTTCCATTACGCACGACATGATGATCGCGCAGTGAAAAATTTCCAGACGCGCTTTCCGCACGATCGTTCTCGGAACAATTGTGCAATATGTTGGTCGACGAGACGACGGATGTGCACATTACGGCGTGTGCACGAATAATATATTAGTTTTAACTGTGAACAAAGACCTTCATATTTATTCGTAAATATTCTCAAAAATTTATTACTTAGCAACGCTGTGTGATGTTGGAAATAAACTCGCTGCTATGATTTCACTGATGACTTTTGTTAGGTTAGCTTAATTTTAGTTTCTGCCTAACGAGTTCTAATTTCTAATCTCTATTTCTCTGCGACTCAAATCAAACTGGTAAAATGATCAATAAGGCAGTAGCAAGAGAAAAAAAAATGTTATCGATAGTAATAGAAAGAAAAAAAGATAATCGCACACTCATGAGATATTTTAATATATGCATGTATATACCTTTGAATACGGCGCCGCGCTTGCGCGATAACCGATCCACTTGAAAGCACAGATGTGTATTATCCTTCTCGCGCGGTCGTTTGATATCGGTATCGTTCAACTATTTTCAATTACACGTAAGACAAATATCTTGATGACTGAACTAGTATCTCGATAACTAAGAAAGAATATCAATTATAATTCTAATGAAATGTTAGATAATGACAGTAGTACCAGTAATTGAACTGAAAAGCAGATTATGTCCAAATTACCAAATAACATAGACTGAACGATTGAATGCTCGTCAAATAACGACAGATTGGCATAAAGAGATATCTTTTAATCGAATGTCGAAAGTTTTCCTTCGGAAATATTAAATACAAGTATATTACCATCACATTGGGGCAGGCAATGCCCGTTCAATTACTGGAACGTTTACCTTAAACGTCGCGATTGTTAATCGTGCTGGATAATTTCCGTCTTCAACTCGCGTCGCGTACGGACGAGCGCATTCGACGTAAAATCGTGAACGTTTGATGTTGTCAACGTGTTGTCTCGCTGTTGTATACACGCATATCACAATGTTTGTACGGGCGAATTTCCGTTGGAGTTCGCGTCGTGTGCGAGCGAAGCGTGACGTGTCAACAAAAGAAAGCAACGCGGGCGCGTCTCCTCAGCCGCGACGCGTGTGCGAAGTCACGGTTTCACGTCCGGGAGTGCCGAGCCGTTGCTCGAAAATAGCCGGCTGTCGTGACGCGCCGCGTCTATTTTCAACTGCGCACCGGCCGATCCTCGTGCACCTAAGTCGAAAGTTTCTTTATTTAAAGCGCCAGATCGATAATGGCAATCGGCCGGAATCTATCGTGGGCGAGCGCGCGTCCCGTTTCTCGCGGCTTGAGGCATATTTACTCGGGATTTCCAGTCGTTGAGTTTGCATCACGATCCTACTCTCTATCATAACTCAGACACATGTTGACATTTTCGATGAGGGAACTTCACAATAGTTAGCATGCCTATTAAGGTTTAAAGGTAATGCCGTTTGATGTTTCGAATTTAGTGGGTGAATCGAGCGGGAAGTTTACCAATCGCGAGGAAATTTGAATCTGCGAGATTACGACGGTGTGTGAATCGATTCTCGATTCGTTGCTAGTAATGAGCACCGTTGATAAGTGGTGCGGATGATTAATATATTTGATATACTTTCCGCAAACGATGATAAACGATACTGATAATTTATTATTATTTGGTATATAAAACGCGAAACTTACATTGATATCATTTTGAATTTCAGAAAATCAAGATACTTTCCTTAGAGTCTTAAGCGTTGTAATTATCGAACTTTGCAACATTGACAATAGTTTGATATTTGAAGAGAATACACTTTGATTTACACAAGGCGTATATCCCATTTTAAATAAAATATGCTAACTCTGAAATTACAAGTTAAGAAAATGTTTCAGATAGAAGTTTTAGTGATTTCAAAAATAATGCATGATAATGCTATTGGTTTGACTTTGCGTTGGACGCGCTATGATGTCTTCAAGGTCAGTTTGAATTTTTTAAATAGAATCATATAATTTTTTAATATAAATTGATTTTTAGAATTATTTTATAAAAAGTAACGAGGTAAAATCAAAAACTTCGAACAATTGAATACTTTCGTAGATTTTTTACATTTTGTTCTGATACTTTTTAGTACAAGAGATATGAAATATTTTGTAAAATATTCACTTTCGGATAACTTCACTTTAATATTTTTGTACATAAAATGACAGATAAAATTGATTATTGAGAAAAATATAAATCTTAAACAAAATTCTATTGCATTTTTACAGATTTATTGATGCAAAAATTAGTATCATCAATTTGTATATGTATATATAGGTCGTCATATATATGCTATATTGATTTATTAACAATCTCTATAATCAGTGATATTATTAGTATAATAGTAGTATATATAGTTACTGATGTCAGGCAAGCTACAACTTAGTTAACACCTGATAAAATATTTTTATTGCATATATAATAAATTAAAAAGAGAATCAATATATAATTTACAGTGTAAGTAGATATATATGGCAAAAATAATATATTTCAATATTTAATGGCATTGTTATTATAACATTTGCCTAAAATCCACAAAATAAAACTAGAAATCGCTCATACTATTGACTTTTTTCAGCTGCACTTTGTTGTTCTATATAATGTCCTATGGTTGTTGAAAGACTTTGCATGCCATTGCTCACATGACTAGGAGTTTCAGATACGAATTTCATACTTGCTATGACTCCTTTATTCCATGTTGATTTTGCAGAGTTGCAGAGCTCATTAGTACTCAGCATTGGTGGAAGCTGTATACAATGATTTAATTTAAATTCTTTTTTATAACAATCTTAATAAAGTATTAAAGAAGATGATATAAAACACAAAGCATTAAATTTATCATGTGTATAAATATAAATATTTTTAATATAAACAGTCACTTATAATTTCACTTGAATATCCTTGAATTCTAGCGTTGAATAATAGCATGCTAATGTTTGATTCTAGCATTGGATAAATATTATGCTAAATATTATGAACTTATTTGTTGAAATAAGACCTACCTCACTTAGAACTTCTTTAGGAATGTTATCTTTGATATAAGGAGCAACATTATTGTAGACCTTTCCGTACAATTGTACGCTGTCTTCGGATTTGGACCATAGACCCTGCTGAATGCTATAATAAACAATACCGCTTGCGAGAGTGGTCTTGACAGCGAACCTACGGACATAACCTTTAATCGTAATGTGATCTTGATTTGCGAGACGATGAATTATGCGGATACCATATCAGTGGGTTGTCTCTAGTCCTCTGCAAATGTACTAACCGCACGAAGCCCATTGTCAGAAATTACTTTGGCGTACGGATTTGAAACTTCGTTGAGTCTACTGAGACAGCAGTTCGTAACACGAAAATGCTAAAATTACGTAAAGCCTGTCTAGTAGTGATAAGTATTATTAACGCGGTAACTGTTATTTTATAACTATTTAACTGTTAATCAAAATAACAGTTATTGACTTATTTCATTGGTCATATTCAGCAGAACGTTTACTTTGAATTTGTTGAAAGTCTTCTAAGTTAAAATTAAATTCTTCTTTTAGATCTAGAGGAAAAATGTAATTCAAACTTAGTATAGAAAACCTTCCATTTTGCAGGATTCACACTGCATTGACGTATGATGTTCGATATCCAATAGCAGAACAGCTTTCTAATGGAGAATTTAATTCTCCATTAGAAAGCTGTTCTGCTATTGGATATCGGACATCGGACGCGGTATGAATCTTTCATTATATTTAAGAAGTCTGTTCTTTTGCTCTGCACTGCTGCACTGGTACAATAAGTTAGAGTGAGAAAAATATATATTTGTCTCACTCTAACTTATTGTACCAGTGCAGCAGTGCAAAGCGAAAGAACAGACCAAAGGCTTCCTTGAGTTCATCTTCAGATGTTTTGTAGCCAATAAAATGATCCGTACAGCATCTGAAGATAAACTTGAGGAGATCTTAAAGGTCCGTCTACAATGAAATTAGCAGTAGGCAGTAAGACGTAAGTAGTAAACAAATTGACCAATCACAATCGACTATTTTTATAATATTCTATTGTGATTGGTCAATTTGTTTACTACTTAAGGCCATCACACACAAAATTCCGTAAGAACTTAAATCGTAAGCGTAAGGAAATCGACCAATTACAATCGAGTATTCGCCTATTCGTAATAATGGAGGGGTTATGGCTCTGGTGACATTGGGTACTTTCCAATTGCTTAATACATCTTGATACACACGTACACAAAATCAGTTTATTGGTCACATATTATCTAAAATATCTTGTAAGATAAAATGCAACCAATAAACTGGTTTTGTGTGACAGTGTACGCAACTGGAAAGCATCCATTACCTACACCTACAGTTCAAATTTTTAGCAATGGCGTAAGGTCACTAAAGCTAGGTGCACTCAACCATATATTGAAGTCTTGAGTTGCTTTCTTTTTAGGCGCTTACGCGCTGTAAGCATTATTCTATCTTTATCGCTTATTAGATGCGGAAGAAAGATAGAGTGATGCTTATAAGCGGTTAAAGCGTCCAAAAGGAACGCTTTGAAGTACCTACACCTACCGCCCTCTGAGATAGTCTCCGGATGTGACCGAACTAACGGGTGACGTCATGCGGAGTGGGGATGCGCGTCATTGAAACAGAGAGAAGCCTGAGAGCGGCCACGCCATATGTTTTGGGCGACACCGATATTCACGCTGGTGCGATGCGCCATCTGCACTCATTTTACAGGTGGAACTACGTTCCCTACGCCCATTTTCAGACGATGCCGGTAAAGCAGCGATTCGGTCTATTCTACGCCCATTTCCTGACGATTCGTGTCCGTGCTAAGCGCATAATTGCATGGTTAAGAACATGGACCATTGCGTATGAACTTATATTCCATCTAACATGCACATGATCTTTTCTCTTTACGCACTGTCATAAATTTATTTACATGTAAATGCGAGAACCTGACCGCGAAAAGCACGCCCACTTCATGCCCTACATAACGCAACGATATTAATCGCATTATTATAAAACATTAATTCCAGTAGCATAAACTATGGAAAAACTAGTGCTCTTTAAATAACATCAATATCTTTCATGGTTGCCGAGAAATAAGGAATAAATGCTAGCGGCATGTAAGAGCTTGATCGCACCGTCGAAACATTCGCGCATTTCTATACTTTACCTAAAGCAGTGGTATTAATCGTAATATTATAAACAACTAATTCCAATAGAGTAAAGTGTGGAGAAGATAGTGCTTTTTGAACGAAATCGATATCTTTTGTAGTTGCCGAAATTAAGCAATAAATGCTAGCGGCATGTAAAAGGAGTGTATGAAGTTGGCACCCCGCTTTTTGAAATTTATAATTTTGAAAGTTGTTCCAGATTGTTCTGACTTTGTACCACATTGTTCCAAAGTGATATTGCTTTATTCAAAACGGTTTTCAAATAAAACAAAAAAAAAATGATTTTTTGAGCTGGCATCCACTTTTCGAAAATCGAACATTCTGATACTGCAATAGATTGTTCTAGTTGTTCCAAACATTGTTCAAAAGGACATATCCGTAAGTTCAATTATAAGTCCAAAAAATGAAAAAAATGTTTTTGACCTGGCACCCCATTTTTTGAAAAGAAAGCATTCCGATAATATAGATTGTTCTAGTTGTTCCAAACATTGTTCAAAAGGACATATCCGTAAGTTCAATTATAAGTCCAAAAAATGAAAAAAATGTTTTTGACCTGGCACCCCATTTTTTGAAAAGAAAGCATTCCGATAATATAGATTGTTCTAGTTGTTCCAAACATTGTTCAAAAGGACATATCCGTAAGTTCAATTATAAGTCCAAAAAATGAAAAAAATGTTTTTGACCTGGCACCCCATTTTTTGAAAAGAAAGCATTCCGATAATATAGATTGTTCTAGTTGTTCCAAACATTGTTCAAAAGGACATATCCGTAAGTTCAATTATAAGTCCAAAAAATGAAAAAAATGTTTTTGACCTGGCACCCCATTTTTTGAAAAGAAAGCATTCCGATAATATAGATTGTTCTAGTTGTTCCAAACATTGTTCCAAAAGCACAAATCAATAAGTTTAATTATAAGCCCGAAAAATTAAAAAAATTTTTTTGGCAAACAGTCTATCGGACCAAGAGTAAACTTATACTATCTTTCTTGTTCCAACCGAGATCTTTTTGTTCTGAGTTGTTCTAG